TCTGGCTGCTGCTTTTGCCTTTTTTTTTTTTTTTGCTATTGAGTTGTAGGAGTTCCTTATATATTTTGGAATTGAACCTCTTTTCCGATTATGGTTTGCAAATATTTCCTCCCATTCTCTAAATTCCCTCTCACTCTATGGATTATTGAGGCTCCTGTTTCTTATTCATGTTTTCAATTCCTTCTTTTTTATTTTTTTAGAAATATCAAATATATTTTATGTTCTTACTTTAGTAATTCCTAGTAAGTGAAGTTTTGCATGTCAGCTGTTATTTCTGCTGGTTCTCATGTACAACGTCTTGTTCTCTTTTGTGCTTTGTGATTTATTTTTATTATTATTTCTTGTTCACTAGAACTTTATTTGTAGTAATTCTTTGACACCTGTGTTAAAGATCCAGCTCTCTGGAGAAAAGTTCCGTTTGTTTTTGCAAGTTGCCTACGGGTACTACCAATCCAGAACAATTTAAAATAAATTCTCAACTTGGGATTTGGGGGGGGGCGGGGCGGGGACCATGTAAGGTGATGTGAATTCAGTCCTGAACCAATAATGAAGACCAATGTATGGTTACAATCCTCAAAGCCGGCAACACTTGCTTCCTTCTCCTCTGCACAACCCAGAGTCAAGGCCAAAGAATTTCTGTATCTGAAGTTTTTAGTTGTTTTCCAGTGGGGTCATTTTTAATAATGATTATTAAGTCTAAATACTTTTTAAAGCATTCTTAAAATGTTAGGTTGCATCTAAAAAAAAAAGTGGCTATTTTTATTACTGCAACACTTAAATGCTCAATACTTTCACTAATATTCAACCAACCAATAGGCACTTGGTGAAAGACAATGTACTGGGTGCAAGTAAAAGCAATGAGTCCCACAATGGGAATAATTTCCTATCATCTGAGCTCAAAGGGAAGAGGTAAATCATGATTCTGTATCTTGCAATCAAAAATAAGGCTCTACTAAATCCTACCAAATAAAACACCAGTTACTCATGTATTAACCTAACTTTATATGAAGATATGGAATTTAAGAGCTTCAGGAAGGAAAGTGATAATTAGAAGTATTCCCCCCAACAGTTTGTTTCAAAACAAGAAGTCCCACTTCTTTCCTCAAAAAATTAAAAATAGAATTACCATATGATCCAGCAATCCCACTTCAGGTTATACATCCAAAGGACATGAAATCACTATCTCAAAGGGATTATCTGTACCCCCATGTTTACTGCAGTACTATTCACAACAGCCAAGACATAGAAACAACCTTAATGTCCATCTATGAATGAACGGATAAAGAAAATGTGGTATACATGTACAACGGAATATTATTCAGTCATAAATTTAAAAAGGAAACCCTACCACTTCCAACACATGGATGGACCTTGAGGGCATTATGCTAAGTGAAATGTCAGAGAGTAAAAGACAAATACTGTATGATCTCACATGTAGAATCTAAAAAAAAAGCCAGCCTTGTAAAACAGAATAGAATGGTGGTTTCTAGGAGCTGGGGAAGCATGGGGTAGAGGGGAGACAGAAGCTTAGGAGATGGTGGCCAAAAGGTACAAACTTCCAGTTAGAAGATGAATAAATTCTGGGGGATCCAGTATACAGCATGGATACTGTACATTACTAACATTGAAACATAATGAAACATAACTTGAAAGTTGCTAATACAGTAAATCTTAAATGTTCTTGCCACGAAGTGTGAAGTGATGGATATGTTAACTAACCTTACTGTGGTACTTCATGACATATACATTTATCAAATAATCATGTTGTACATCTTAAATTGACACAATGTTCTATTTCAATTATATGTCAATAAAGCGAGAAAAAAAATTTTAAGTCCTCCTTCAAATATAGTATTAGGAGCTAGGAGGAAGTCTATTTTTCTATAGTAAACACTGCTTATGATCAGAAAAAAAATCTTACGCTATATTGGGCTTCCATCATAGCACTTTTAGAAGCAAAGCTTTTATACTCACTTGTAGAAGTAAAGTTCACAGATACAGCTCACAAAAGCCAGGAGACATCGTAAAAAGTAGAAGACAAGAATCTGAAAGAAATCCAGGACAGAAGTCACAGAAACAAGAAAACTCTTAAAGATGAAACCACTTTCATTTGTCATTAGTAACAATGAACTGGCATAATCCTTTTGAAAAGCAGTATGTATCAAGGACCATACATATATTCCTACCCCTAGACCCAGTACACCTATTTCTAGGAGTCCAGCTTGCAGAAGTAACTCGAACTAAGCAGGGAAGGTTAGTTCTATTCATGAAAATGGTAAGTGCATCACTATTACGTTAGAAAAAAACTGCTTAAAAAAAACTACACGATGGGGGCGCCTGGGTGGCTCAGTGGTTAAGCGTCTGCCTTCGGCTCAGGTCATGATCCCAGGGTCCTGGGATCGAGCCCCACATCGGGCTCCCTGCTCCGTGGGAAGCCTGCTTCTC